GACTTGTATTCGTATGATTTTTTTCTCTGATTTTAAAGCAGATTTAAAAAAAAAAAGCAGACAAAAATTATTTATTAAAGATTTAGATATTATACATTTTTATGATAAATATTACAAGGAAATTAATGGATATTAAGTGAACCTACAGCCAGACTTTTCACTAAACCATTAGAGCTCATTTGAGACACTGTAGCTCACCTCTTTGTGAGTCTCTGAGGTCAGGCTGCTGCTGACGACATAACTCACTGATAAAATGATGAATGACATTCTCAAACAAACTAATCAGTTGGACAAGCTATGGCTAACCCATATATTTCCCAAAATTATGGCCTATACATTAATAACTCTACCCCGGATTCTCCCAAAGATGGGAGGCGTGGGGATGGCGTCAGTCAAGTAAATATTAATCCTACATGTTACTGATGTCAAAGATGATAAATGTCTGAACTGATTACAGAACGGCTGAACTGTTACTGACGCTTTTGTTTTTCCATAAAAAAGGCCCTGATATCCTAGTCTGCTATTGGGGGACATTTTTACCTGCAAGAATTAAGTTGTTTGATACAATGAAATGAGTGAGGAATGGTCACAAATTAGCTAACATCTTATGCCTGAAATGTAAGTTGTGTGTTGCAAGTGTCATGTGTCTATGTAGATTCCTTCACGTATGCTCTGTCTAAATTATACATTTTAAATCTAGTCTATATTTAATGTAATTTTAGCTTCAAAGCCATATAATAGTTTTTCTGACTGCCAGTGCTCTCTATTTGAGGAACATCCAAAATGATTATGTAAAATCTAGAGTCTGTGTTGCGGACTTAGGTCAACACTTTGTGTAGTTTTATGTAAATGCCACCATTACTGTGCTGTAATGTAGCTATTTCCTTTTCATATACCATTCCTCTGGTAAATGCAGCCACGTGTGATTATGAAAAGACTTAAAGTCTACATTGTACCCAGTGAAATGTTTTCTGGCCTGCAGGCAACAATTCAGAGAGAAATGGATACTGTGTTAGACCAGCCACACACTCCTGGGAGATGCAAATCAGAGGAAGATCATGCTAATGCATGTAATGACGGACCACAGTGAGTGAAGCTGGTTTGGAAATATAGGAGTATAGTGGGCAGTCACAGTCTGACATTAATCAAGGAATTTGGGTGTGGATACTTGCTGTAGACAATATGTTGTAAGTATATACCTACTGTAAATGTATATCATAATATATATCTTTAAAAAAAAGAGACTTAGATCTACACAAAAGGTAGTATGAAACAAATCAGTTCAGCTGCTTTAAACTGTGATGAAAGATGAACATCGTCAGTGGATGCCTCAGATATTTTTGTAAATTTGAATAATTTCAAGAACTGCACTTATTTTTTCTGTTAAAAATAACACGTTAAAGGCATGCTCACAACTTGAGTATTATGACTATTATACTTAGAAGCAGATCCAAAAGGGAATCAGATCCAAACCCCAATTGTTTACCACATGCTGTCATGATATTCTCTCTTGCAAGAGCAATGAGCTGTTGGATTGCATTGCAGTGTTGGCTCTCGAAAGACAAAGTTTGTTTTCGTTGGGTGATTTTGTTCTTTTCGGTCCAATTTCATTAAGGCTTTTGTTATTTCCAAAACTAACATAACTATAACAGCAGTAATAGCGGCTGTTGAATCTGGGTCACTAACTGAGGTTGAAGTCCAGGTGTTGGAATCTGATCTACAGTAAAGGTCACTGCAGAGCAGCTGGGGCACTGGTTGCATGAAGGTAGGGCACTTTCATGTGAGTGACATGATGTAATGTAGATCCAGTCTGAGTCTCAGTTGTTCCTCGAGTTGACAGCGAGGAAACTGTTTTAAAACACATTTGATATCCAGTGACCGGATGTGTCCAATGAGAACTGGAGGAGTCTGGAAAAAGCACAAACTATAAAATTTGACCTGTTTTCTTGCTTGTTTCCATTGCAGTCCACATGTTTTGCAATTGTTGTTGTTCACTGACATTGAAAGAAATATAAGGACATTTATTATTATTTCAATGTCCAGCCTGACAGATTGTTACATTATTAGGAGATATTCTGATTTTGCCTGCGCTGTGGTTTTATTATTATTATTCCAGTATTTAGACAGTGGTTTGATCTCCACCTATAGCCTACCCATCGGCCCGTTTCCTCCGTCCTGACTGCTCCAAGCGCTTCCTCTATGTACTGTAATCCACCACTGCAACCAGCATTGGCTTCAGTTCATACAGTAAATACCACAGCATAAACACTATGACTGTGATTGAAGGGTAGAGACACAGAGGAGCAGGAGAGAGAGAGAGAGAGAAATATGGACAGAAAAGGAGAAAAGACAGAGAAATAAAGAGAGAGAGAGAGAGAGTGATGAATGCTGACTGTAACATTGTGTAACTGACAGATTATTCATTGTGCTATTAGTTTTCAGCAGCAGCAGCTTACGGTTGCCAATCTACACAAAAGAGGCATACCAGCAATGGCAGTTGGGTTTAGAGTTTTCAATAATGCACTACTGAGGATTATAGACCTCATAGTTGAGTTTTACATAGGTTGTCAACCTTTAACCACTGTACAGTTGAAGCAGGAAACAAAAATTAAAGGTCAGTCAGTTCCTTGGAAATGAGAGTTAACACGATCAAGGCTAATAAAATCCCAAAGACTTTAAGCAGATTAGAGTTGGATGAAAGCTGTATCAAAGTTTTAAAATCTAAGGGAGAACTTGATTTTCCGAATAGCTAGAACACCTCTAGGACCAGCATGTAGGATTTAGTGTCATCTAGTGGTGTAGTTGTAGATTGCAACTCCCTCGCTTCACCTTCCCGTTCCAAGTGCGAAGGAGAAACTGCGGTGGCTGCGAAAAATGCGAATGCCCCTGTGCAGTGCCAGTGTTCGGTTTGTTCCTTCTGGGCTACTGTAGAGACATGGCAGTTAAACATGACGGACTCCAAGGAAGGCGACCCGTGGCGGCTGTAGAGAAACACTGCTCATTCTAAGGTAATAAAAACAAAAGGATTCTTATTTTCAGGTGATTATACATACACAAATATATCCATGCATATTATATTCCATTTCTGCCAACAGAGCTTCCTAAATGTTGCATGTGCTAATTTGTATGTGTAGCTAGCTAGCGTGCTAGATAGATCACTTGCATTCTGTCTTTCATTAGTTTTCTCCCACTCTTCTCTTTATTCCCTCCTCTGTATTTGCTCCCTTTGCTGTCTCCTCTCATTTTTCCTTCTCTTTCAGAGTAAGACAGATTATTAGAGGGGAGTGTAAGTGAGTAAAGTAGCAGCTCCCCTACTACACACCCCTGAGCCTCCCCTTCATCACCAAAACACTCCACCCAAAAATCTGAATCCCTTGAGGGCAAACAGCTTGCAGGCCCTCCAGCGTAACAGCTCATACAGATAAAAGGCCTTGGCTGTGGCCGAAAAAACCCAGTTCCCGGCTTCAACCACAAGCCCAGGCTGAACCGTCCAGCACTGCGGCTGCCCGCCTCCCAGCCTGCTGTCCAGGGACAAACGCAGCACAGATGGGGAGGCAGAGGGAAGAAAAGAAGACACAGGGAGAAAGGCAAACTCTTACTTCACCACTCAAGCTTCACAGCTTTCTGCTGTCAAGAATGTGGTTGTACAAAACATCCGTTTTTGCAAACCCAAATCCCAGTCTTACCTCTTGCTGGTCGTCTTGCTGGTTGCTCTGTTATGGAAGTATATTAATGACAAAAGATCTGAGATAGCACACAACAAATATGAGTGGTACTCAGTCTGCAAGTCAACTTTTCAAGAAGAGCAGAATCAGATTTGTGCGCCAACAGATGATTAAGTTTGGTCATCCTGTTACACCCTTCCTTCTACTTTCAAAATAAAAGCTGGGAGAGTGTTTTTTTTTTAACCACCAGATGGAGACAAAAAGCTGTATTTGGTGTCCATATTATCTTATTATTATATCTTATGTTATTATTATCTTATGTTAAATAACTAAATAACTAAAGTTACTTTCAATTTGTTGGCAAGTTAAGTAATTTTGAGAGTCAAATTATTTTAAAAGTAGTTGCTAGCTATATATCATAGTGGTTGCTTTAGCTTTGTGTTAACTTCTTTATTTCTAGAGTGATTTTTCTGAACCAAATGTAGGGTTAGGGTTAGGGTTAGGGTTATTTTCTTTTTCAGTTTTATGAATTATTTACGAGGTACAACAACTTTGAAAAAGAGGTTAGCCCTATTCCTATGAATCTGTGCTTGTGCACTCTCAAATGTTAACTTACAGTCTGAAGTAGTTTTAAGCTCTCTCAAATCTCATCAATATACTTCCATACTCAACCAGCATGGAAAAACAGGAAAATTAGAGGTGACCGTTTTTTTGTTGGCAGAATTAATTTGTCAGAACCTGAAAACAAAATATTACAGAAGATCATTATGTTTTATTAAATAATTTGATCATGATTTGGCTTTTGATAAAGTTAAATAACGTTGAGTTCACAGAGTTTGACCATGTTTTTACAACACAAATATATAACAACACATAAGTAGATTTGGAATTAGTTTTGTCTTAGAAATTTGATTTCTGAGACAAAATTATATTATTAGATTGAACTGTCAAAGATCATGGCTTTATTACTCCTGTCAGATGAGTGCTGTCATTAGCACTCACATCTGTTTCTTTTCCATTTTAAGTCGCCATCCAAGAAATTAAATATGTTTATAGTATATTGATAGGATTGTGTGTTTCAGAGGCCTCTGTGGTCATTAAGGTCACCAAACCCACTCAGTAAATGAGGGTCATGCAGGTTCTGTTTTAGGGTGGATTTTCCCTGAAACACACCAGCGTGCAGCCAAAACCAACTCCCGCTGATGGTTTGCCTCTTGCCTCCGGTCTCTCTGGCCTGCTTCTAGACAGCAGCCGAGGGACCCTCACCGCTCAGAAGGAGGAGCAGAGGAGTCCTACGGCCCTCCCACAGGCTATAAGACCTGAGGCAGACGGAAACACTCAGACAGCAGGCACACGTGGAGCAAAGAGGCAGAGACAGAGAAGGACGTGAAGAGAGGCAGAGAGAGACCAATAAAGAGCGAGAGAGAGTCAAACAGCTGCCACAGACTGGGAGCAGTTTGTGCTATTGGGATTGAAACAGACAAAGTAAAGAAACAAAGGACCAAGAAAGCGGTTTAGAGAAGTAAAGAGGACAAATCAACAACCGTTTGACTTTAAAATGCCATTTTAAAGTTGGCTTTCGTCCAAAGGATTAACTGAAAGAAGAACTGAGCTTTGGGATGTGAAGTGTTTTCATTTAAACCAAGAGAGAAAAACAAGAGGGACCTGAAACCTGCAGCCACCTGTGACAGCAGCTCTGAGGTCAAGTTGCTCTTGACCACTGACTAAGGATCAACTTGCTGACCTTTTAAACCAAGCCTAATTTAGCACCATAAGGGCTACGTCTGTCTCACCTGGCTTAACAAATTTAGCAAAGAAGAGAAGTTGGGGTGAAGTAACAGTTTAAGCAGTGGACGCCTTTAGACAGCAGCATCAACAGAAAAACTGTTAAGCCGCTTCCGATAACAAGTTGAACCTCAATAAGTGGAAGTCACACAAGGATTGGTCAGTAGCTGTCAGAGCCTTGTTGCGGTGAAGATGACATTTGCCATGCTTCGCACGGCCCCTCCCGCAGGCCGCTTCTTGTACGGCGACATCGCCCTCCTCTCCGAAGACGATGATGAGAATGGGAGTGAGGGGTCGGGCTCCGAAGAGCGTACCACCAACTCCTCCAACTCGGCCTACCGCCTGTCCTCCTCGTCGCCATCTGCCTTTCACATCAAGGTGAACAGGAAGAGGAAGATGTGCCAGGGAATTGGGAGCGGGGTAGAGGCCATGGTGGGGAGGCTCGGCCCCCCGGGGTCCTCTCCTCCTGGGGAGGGCCGCCAAAGGACCGCAGCCAACGCGCGGGAGAGAGATCGCACCAATTCTGTCAACACAGCATTCACAGCTCTGCGCACACTCATCCCCACCGAGCCTGCAGACAGGTACAGAGCAACATGAGTCAACCTGGCTCTAGTCTGATGCACAAATATGTTCCTAAAAATACAGTTTTTCCGTCTGGGAACAAAAATAAGTGATGTAGCTCTGGCACCTTTAAACACAATTGAATTATTTTTTGGGTCAAGGCTGTAATCTCATTGAGGCAACACTGCCTTTAATCATCAGTGGATTTATATAATGTGTCATAGAGTTAGTATTGGGGAGGGATGAAATATTTACATATTTACATACATTTAGCATCGTTATCTATATGTTGTATATATGTTGCACCTTATTTTTAAATACTATAAAAAGTACCCCAATGTTGCGACAATGCACGATATTTTTTTTTCAAATTGTTTTACACTTTTTAAATGTTATGTGTTGATTAATACCATGAATCACGCTCTGATTTGATGATTAGGAAGCTTTCGAAGATCGAGACACTACGTTTGGCCAGTAGCTACATCAGTCATCTGGGGAACGTCTTGCTCCTGGGCGAGGGGCTTCATGATGGACAGCCGTGCCACGCTCCCTCACCGCCATTCTTCCACGTTAACTCCTCCCCCCCACGAGGATCTGACCAATCAGCTCAGCCAAAGCACATCTGTACTTTCTGCCTCAGCAACCAGAGGAAAATGGTGAGCAGACGAAAATTATAAATCAACAAGCAAGAAAAAAGTAAGACTGAAACAAGTAAACTCTCCAACAAAACTCTTTTATCCACTATTTTAAAATGGCACTGAATATGAAGACACATGCAAGAAAATACTCACAGCTTTTTATCTCTTTGTGACCTAAACAACTATAATAAATATCTAATAATAATAACTACAATACATGTGTTTAGTTACTTTTTAAATGCTATAAAAAGAGCATTGAATTGCTTTTTCCACAATAAACAAAATAGAAAAATGCCTTATTTTGCCAAAGGGAAAGCTGATCAGGCTGTAGAGTGAGGCTTCTTTTGGGAAACCGTGCAGTGCTTTAGGGTCAATTTGGTGTTTAAAGCTGACCTGAGATCAGTGACTGTGCATATAAACCTGATTGGCGCTGAGGGACACTAAAACCAGAACCTCTTTAAAGTCCTCTTTTGGTGTGAAGGACTGTGTATTATGGTTCTGTTGGGAGTTAGTTCAACTCGGGCAGGTGGCTCAAAAGTTCAAGGTGCTTTCAGAAACTCACTGGACAATGCAGTGAATAGCAGTGATTGAGGAACTGAGAGAGGCCTGAGAGGTGGGTCAAACAACACGCATCCTTTTTCAGTGTAACACCGACAAGATGTGCACGGCCGTTGCGTAAAAAAACGTCCACCCCAACTGTGGTGTTTTTTCTATCTTTTTTTGAAAATATGAATTTGAAGTTTACAAGGGGTATTTGTACAGCGAGTGAGATTTATGATCGGGAACCGATGAAATTCATCCAAAACCATGTGTATAATTTGAAGAATGTATTGACGTCACCCTGAATACGAGAAGGTTTTAATCATAACTGCTGAAGAACTGACCTGAGACATTAAGACCGGAACTGCTAATGACTTTGTTCCACTGAAACCAAATGTTACAAGACCACAGACTGTCATTTTATACATTTAGCTCACATACTGCAAGTGTTTGGAACGTTTTCCAAAAGCACTTTCAAGGTATTGCACAAAACAAAATAACAAAAAAATCTGTAATTATTCTAAATTTCTCATTTCACTGTCAGAGATAGCATTTCAGACTATAGTTGAGTAGCCGTTGAAGTACTTTTTCCACACTTCCCTCTACACCTTAATAGAGATACAGAAAAGGAGAACTTCATCCAGTGTGAGGTTCAGCTCACATTTGATTGATTCAGCACAGGAAATAGACATAATCAAGAACACTCCCGGCATAAGAAAGTCATCAGTCTGATGAGAAATAGCAGCGAATGAAGGATTCCTATCAGCTGACTGAGATCAAATTAATATGACTGCAGCTCCGACTTCAACAAACACCACCAGCCTGCACAGAAGATGACAGAGAGGTGACGTCCACTCAACTTTCCCCCTCTAACCTAGCCGCTGCCCATTTAGCAGGATTTATGGGTAAGGAGCTGACATCTGGCAGACTCCCCCGTTACTCCAGCAGTGTGTGAAAGCTAATACCCTCCTCAGTGTCTAAACCCAGAGACCCTTTAGCTGGGGGATAACCTGAGTCTCAGCAGTGTGTGTCTCCCCCTCCCTCTGCCTCCCCTCTGAACCGCTGTGAGTGAAAGCCTAGACGTCCTCAGCGTCAGGAACCCAGACACCCTCGGCTGGGAGATAGCAAGCCTCAAGTCTGTCTCGCTCTCTCTCCTCTGTCTCCTTTTCTTTTCGCTTCAGCGTGTCCTCCATGAGTCCTTTGCTTTTATTTCCTTCCTCCTTTACCCTTGCACACTCCTCGTTCTGTTTAACTTTTTTCCTCCTCAAGCCTTTCTCGTGCCCCCCTCCTCTCCCTCAGCTCACTGCATATCGATCAGCCTGGTGGAGGTCAGAGCTGTCAGTAGGAGCTGTGTAATACTATCTGCTGCTGTCAACTCACTGCTGCAGACGCATGACTGACCTGTAAAAGCATGCTGGGTAGAAAACAATTTTGAAACTTTCTCATGTCAAACCCTTCAACTGTAGGCACTTCGATTAAGTCTATCTCTTGACGTAAGTCACATTATGCTGTTCCCCATTAGCTCGATAACAGTTCACATTATTTTCTGTTGTGTATAATGCAGAATGTACTTTTGCTGTTAATGCAGAGCACTGATTAGGTAAACCTAAGTGAAAGTCATCTTTATCTCCTAATTACCTTTTGATTGATTGCCACCATCTACACCATCAGAAATGAGGGGAAAGAAGATGAGTTAGGTAAAGATTGAGATGTTTTAACTTTGATGTGGTTTGTGCAAAAGAAGTCCATACAAAGAAGATGCCCATTTTGTGCATTTAGTGTAACTTAATATAAAGTATTATATAGAATAATCTTCCCTTCTATGTTCCAGTTAATTAAATTTTTAAAATGTTCTTTTTTGATTGTGTTATTCTAACTTTTTTTCATCGTTTAACAAATTCCACAAATACACATAAATATTTAAAAGCAGCTCACGAAGAGGCAAAAAAAAAGAAGTCTAAAAAAGTGAATTTGTAAAACAGCAGGGCGGTTTTTGTAGTTTTTAGCATTCGTTGCCTACACAGGAGTAAAGAGTGAATTTCAGCGGTCCGGCTGTGCGGCAGATTAGTACACATTCGGTGCTCTAGTTAGTATTTACAGTAGCAGGGCGCTGTATGTGGGGCTGACTCAAAATAAACTACAGTGCTCATGTTCATCATAATGAAGGAACATGTCACCCAGTGCAACAGTGTGGCTTATTGATGTGTTTTTAAAAATACCACGATGGAACAAAGTGATATCAGGTTCTGAACAGACTTTTTTTCAGTGGGTTCCGTCCTTTACTGGGTTTGGTCTTTTCATGGGATTTTCTGTCACCAGACTTAAGGGATCCCACAGCTCACCTGGCAAATAAATGGTTAACTCTGATTGGAAGAACCTGAGAGAATTTCATTTTCCCTGGAAAAGTGGCTATACAGTGCATTTAAGTGGGCTAAAGGGCAGAATCAGTGCTGGTGATTACAGAGAGGAAACGATTGTGAAGGTAAAATGAGACTTTGTGTCCTGAGTGCTCTCTTTGTATGTTTTTATGGTCATTGAGGTTCATCACAGCTGTCAGGTCTGCTTAGACCAGCCACTTCAATTACACTTATTTCCAATGTGGGAGAGGGCGAAAGTGAGAAAAGTATACGCTCATTTCCTCTTATTATGTATGTATACAGTATAACTGTTTCAAAACAAACAGTCTTGTTAGTAATGACTACTGCACAGAGAGGGCTATACTGTTGCGTGTTACATATTCAGTGGAATACTAATCATTATCTGTGTGACTTTATGCACTGATTTAGAAAGATTACTAATTTATTTCATACAGGTGAATGATTCATGATTTATTCTTTATGTCTTCTTGCTATGTTCCAGAAACTAATACTGACAGTGAGACTGAAAATTATTAAGAGCTTCTCATTGTCGCTGTCCTGTGAAAACCACCTATCAGGTGTAGGCTTTGTGACAGTGTTAATTCTTTTTATTTAAAAAATGAGGCAATTGAAGAACAGTGGAAATCTCCTCAGTGTGAGCCTGAAGCACAAACAAATATTGTTGTTTTTGTTTTCTAGTGAGACCTATTGAACAGCCTTGTTGCTCAGAGTCAGTGTGGCGATCATAGTGCAAATCTGTTCTCCTGCATATTAGTTGTTTGCTAACGGAGTCAGACAATTCTGTTTAGTTTCTTTTGATCAGAAGCCAAGTTCTTCTCCAGTGTCCACATATACCTTGACAGATTTTGACTTTTAAAAAAAACAGTTCTGGGGTAGAGCCGCAGCTGTTTGGCATGGACAAACTGGAGGCCAACTGATGCCTTTGATACGTGCAGTAAAAGAAAAACGGGATGCTCCTGATGGCTACATCTGTAAATGAGATGTACAGGGATGAGGATAGAGGATTGAGGTGAGCAAAGGGCTGCTTAAATCCCTGTGCTGTCTGGTTGATTGATGCAGATATCCTGTACTAGGCCTCTCTGCTTCTACTGATCGGTGCAACTGTCAGGTGCCTGGGCTCAACCTGCAGCAGGAAACCTGCACGATTACAGCTTCTGTAATCATTGTAGCGTTATTGTCTCTATTATATCTCTGCTAGAAGTCACCCTTAATGACCTTGAAATGTGTCATACCATGTGAGCATCTGCAGTATATTTATTTACGCTATAGGTGAAGGCAACACATGAGTATCAGTTTAATGTTACTGAATGATGATGAGGTGTTTATTCAGGAATTCTCTACAGTACAAAACAAAAACAGAAAGCTTTTTTAAATGTGTTAATCTGTCTACTTTGCTGTCTTTAGGCCATAGTGCTTGAAGCATTTTTACAGCTTCCTCCGCAAGTGTGGCTTGTTTCTTTTGGCTCGAAACAGGGAGAGGGTCAGTTAAATTCAACGGCAGACGTAAACAGAAATGGCAATTCATCTGACGGTAAAAGCAATCATGCTGAACTTTTTCCTTTTAAGCTGAAGATGACAAGTCCAAACATTTTCCAATATTTAAAAATTAAAGAAGCTCATCTGACGAATTAAAAGAGAATTTATATGTTTAGAAACAAAATAAAAATCTGGCAAAAATATAACTAGTATAATACTCATGGTGCGGTCGCTGTAAATAGACTGCTGCTGCTTTGAGATGGTTAGGTATAATTGGGTTTACAAGCGTTTTAAGGCACAACCCTGATTTAATTCCAACTTGAAGGAATCTTATTTATTTGGAATTTTTTGAAATGAAAAAGAAAATAAGTGTAAATTTACCGAAACAGCAAACCTAACAAATGATGTATACAGCTCCTAATATCACAAACAGGTCTAATTTACATCTGAGCTGCAGTAAAACTTTTATATGTGAGGATTTTTGTGGGTGGCTGGAAAGCAGGGCGTATGGAAAGACAGTGGCACTAAAACTGCACCATGAAACAGACTTATCTGTACTCGTGGTGTTTGTGTGTGATAGTAAATATAAATGTGTTCATGTGTGGGTAAGAGAGAGAAAGCGTG